ACTCCGACTCCTCTTTACTTCCCAACTTATGTATAGGCTATAAAACAAAGTATTGGAATCGTGCCAAATTTGACCCTCGTTTTTTGCAAATCTACACGTTTGGAGATCTCCCGAACCGCAAAAAATGTCAATAAAGGGAGAAATTCGTGTGTGTCTGTGTTGGCATCTAATTTGTTTAATTTCTTTACCCATTCTGAGATATTGTTTAATTATCTCAGAACAGAGAATAAAGTTTAAGAAACTAAACTTGGCACAGTAGCTTGTGTATAAAGGGGCAATAATGCTATTAAATTTTGGTTCTTAATTAAGGATAGACAGGATAGGGAGACAGAAGGAATCGTGTGTCATCTCTCCAGTGCGGTCGGACTTAATGACTATTATACTTAGTCGGGATGCGTTCACAATTTTTTTATAAACTTCGTCTCTACCCTCAAAATTAAGCATTTTGTCATTTTATAATAGTATAGTAATACCCGTTAAGATGTTCTCGCCTGAGATATTGGAATGTGTATGGGGGCACAATTTAGTTCAACCACTTTGAAGCTTAATAACTCCTGTGTTACACCATCTGACTCCGATTTAAAAACTACAGAAGTTATTAGGCTTCAAACAGTCTTCCCCTCCACAGTCTAACATACATACATACAGAAAAAAAAAACAAATCTTTTGCATATCTCGACATATCACGGTCTCCGAGTCCAAAAATGTAAAAATTTGGGAGGGGTCATTTTTCGACAGATTGCTATACTTTTCCTCTGTTATAAATAACAGCCGGGAAAGTAAAAATTATCGAATACATATTTATATATTGAGTGTGTCATTACTTACTGTTAGAGTAGTCTTTTAGCTTTGGAATAAAAGTTTATATTCTATCTTTATTAGAACTCTATTAAATCTTTTATTCTGAGGTCACGTGACATCAGAATTTCCGGGTCTATTTTGGTAACAAGTTCGCCCCTGGTTTTTCGTGTTACAACTCCAACGTGTTGAACGTGTCACGTGGTACCATCTCACACTCTGACGTCAAATTGGTAGTCTCGAGTTATAACTCACGCGTTTTCCCATCTCATCAAGATCTCACATGTGCTCGACTCACTTTGAGTCGAGCATGTGATCTTTACACGAAAGTGAAAATGGCTGACGGATATACTATTCTGATCGAAATCGAAGCATTAGAAAGAGCCGAAAGACGTTTAAGAAGACAACGAATTTTGTCATTTCTTTTCGTGTCAAGTCAATACTAATAAAAAGATTTTAATTCATAATTAATAAAATTATACAGCAATTTTTCCAAAAATAAAAAGAAGTATCTAATTCATCGAAAAAGAGAATTAAAATAATAATTTATACATATAATTTATTATCAAGAGCATAGACACTATATTAAGATTATTTATTAATCAGAACTTAACACTTCTGATTAATAAGTAATCTTAATATACAAAACAATTTTAAAAAATAGATCAAAGAAGAAAATTATATGAAGAAAGGATTAAATTAAAATACTTTTTCCTTTACACAACGGATTTTTTAGCTCCAACACGCGATTTTTCAACTAATTCTCTCCACAAATCGAATTGTCTTTTCCTTGTAAATTCGTTGTCGAATTTTCCACTGTTCATTTTCTTATTATTTCCTATATATGTTATATGTTATATTTCCTATATATATCTAATATTTCTTTTTGTTCTTTTCGCTAATTTTTTAACATAAAACATTGAAGGTTTCCATTTTGTTTCTGCGTACAATATTGCTATAAGACAAAACTTTTAACTGTAAACTAATTCGCGTTGATTTGTTTACTTGTTACACTCAAGTTGACTGGTCGAATCATTATAGTCACAAATCTAGATACATTGTAAATAATCCCATCGTGCTTAACGGGCTCTGTAATAAAATTTTTAAATAAATTGTCATAACAGATGGCGCCACACAAATTTAGCAAACTACAGTAGAGCGTCGATTTTCCGAATCAATTGGAGACTGGGGTTGTCCGGATAACTGATTTACGTACGAAAAAATAGTNTTTAAATGCTAAACAGTACTATGACACTGCAACTTTAGTCTCAAGATGGCATCCAAGCATTAGAGTGGCCATACTCTGTTTATATAGGGCTCTAGCTTCTACCAGCCTCAAGCGACAGCTGTCGGCTACTTGAGACATTAACTCTAGAACATAGCTGTGGGATCAGTATATCTTTTGACTCTGGTACAACTAAATATGCTGGCGTTAAAAACGTTGTAGGGGTCGAGACACGTTAAAGCGTATTGTCGCATAAGAAAAAAATTATTTTTAAATTTTAGACTCCAAAATTAAATAAATTCGATTTGGATAAACATTTTGGATGCAATTTCTACTCTTCGTGAAAGCGCAAACGGATGTAGCGGGTGTTTCTGAAACCATATTGTCGAAAGATTCGCAGAGAAGACGAAATAATCGGAATATCGAAGGAATACAAAAGATCGAATCGGACCGTCGGGTCTAACATGACCCGAGCGGGAGGGGAGAGAAAACAGAGACGACACACGCTGACGTTGGTAGGAAATTGGGCGAAAATTCCCTAAAAACCCTACTTCTTCGGCAAAGTCCTACCGAATTTCTTTTGCGGAACTCGATACAACTCATTAACAACTTATTCGTATAACAATGGACCATCGGTAGAGCCAACTCCCGAAGAACTAGGCTAAAACATTCGGCGGACTCTGAAAATAGCACGTCCGAAAGGGCCGAAATTTCACAAGTTTTGTAAATCTAATCGAAGACACATTATATTTTCAGATAAAGAACAAAAACGTTTAAACGAATTAAATCGTCACAATTCTGAAGTTTATTTTAAAACCCCCACCGAAAAATCAATTTGTAGGAACGGCTGCGTGACCGGGCGCAAACGCTGTCGTGACATTCGTGAGAATATTAATATTTAAATTACCTTTCTTTTGTGAAAAAATTAAGTTTGTTTCTCTTTCCTTCCCGCTCACGTCCTAGAATTATCGGTTTTTAAATGGAAAATTCGAATAGCGTTAATTACGTTAATGCGCAACTTATAACACGTTGGCGAACTAAGTAAACTCGAGCAAACGATCTTCGCGTAGTCCGTAGCACACGTTATACTGCCACCGGTGACGTCAAAATTCGGTAATCGGGCAACTTCCGAAAGGTCTCGTTTCGTTCCCCCTTCGATATAACGCCAAATTTCGTACCGGACGGTAAAACACCGCGTAATTTACGTAGCGGACAGCCGACGGACCGACGCTATCTTGAATTTTTGTATAAAACATTTTTTGTACGAAGGACGTATAAATATTTAAAATTTCCTCCGAAATTCTTTAAATGTTTAGTTAAATCCTTAAGCATTATTTAAAACTTTTTTAAATACGTGTATAGGGATATATAATAATACTATTTTAGATTAAATATTAAAAAATGTTTAAGAAGCGGGTTTAGGTTGACTCGGATTAGAGCTTCTCCCCCGATTAACCGCGCTTTACGCTAACAGTAAATGTTTTGTTTTTCTTGTATTTTTAAATGAAAACGGCCCGTCGCAAACGTGTAAAACGAGACGTGACGATATTAATAATACGATATTGGCAACGATAACGCGCGTTAAAAATGGCAATATTAGTAACATCGAAGCGAACGATAACATCTAATCTACGGAATTCTCGACTCGAATCCAACGTAACCCACTCGATAAAAGTAAACTTGCCTGTGTTTTTTCCGGGAAGCGAGGGTCCTCAATGTTACAGGCACGCGTGGCAGAGAGAGAGATTTTTTGCATGACTTNTATACTTCAGATGTTAATTTAGTATCAAAAACGTAAAATATTTGAGTAGCCCAAGACATAGCCAAAGATTGAAGCGCCACAGCACTGGCGAAAATTTAAATTTGCCGACTGGAATTCTTTCGGATGATTGACTTTCGGAAAATCGACGCTCTACTGTATTACGAAATTTTGTTGTATTTTAAAAATTTACTCCTTTTAAAGCTTGAAAATTTAAATAAAATTGAAAATTATCGGACTTTCTTCCCCTGGCCTTAACTTCATCCTGTTAGAGTGGCAAAAAAGTCGCGCATGAGCCCTCAAGACTCGAAAATTGGGTTATAAATTCCAGTGTATCGTCGATTCCTAACGTAAATGTCCCGTTTGACAATTGAAAATTCTTTGGAGGCGAAAAAGTTTACGCAACACGAATCGACTCGTGCAATTTTTTATCAAAATTGTTCGAATAACGTCTGTCTGTTTCACGACTTTTGAGTCGCTCCATCCATTAACGACAGTAGACCAAATTTCTTACTGCAAATTCCGAGAAAACTAAAAATGGACGCCCTCCACCATTATAAAAACTAAATGGGTGGAAATCTTCGATGGTTTCGAATCGTACCGAGATTCCACTTTCGGTGCCATACTTACTCCGAGAAAGTTCGAATCTGTACGAGAAATTACGTTGAATTTAGAAACACCGTACGCGACGACGCGAGGCTATTTTACGAACGTGCGCGAAGGCCTAGCACCGTAGTAACGTCGATTTAAGGAACGATACGGTGTGAAGAGTACGGGTTCGACGATGTCGATTTTTAGGAACTCTGCATTTTGTGGTGGTACTTCGATTGCGGCGATAAATCGGGGTTGGATCTTGAGTCGGTTTCAAATGGAATAAACTTCAAATGACGAGTCAAATTTCCGCGCTCTTGTTAAAAATTCGTGTTCGAAAGTCACGGGTATTTAGTAATATTTACTACAACTACGTTTACGCGTACGCGTTGGCATTAACGAACTTCAAATGAAGCCAAGTAAACGGGTGGCGCCATTAAGACATTAACACTGCCCGTTCTTACGAAAAGAATCTTTTTCGTCTTGTCCACCGTCGCAACCGAGTTTCGTTCCGCACATTCCGTCATTTGTAATTGGAATGCCGCGTGTACGGTTCGAAAATTGATACTGTCGGAGGCGCTAAATAGAGGCCCGACGTGTATTTTCCTTTACTTTTCTTTGGAACAGGGAAGATGGCCGGGCCGTGTCCTAGATCTTCGGCCCGACTCGTAGCCGGTCTTTCTCGTCATGTGACCGTCCGCCCATCAGGAGTCCGAAAAACGGCCGATTTGGTGAGTCGGGGTCCAAGCGTCTTTCCCGAAAGTGGCGAAAATTCCAGATTTGGAATTTTTATTTCAGTTGGAGAAGCCGTTGCTCGGCGGAGAATACGACGCGGGAGCGTGGAAGAGGCACGAGCTCCATCCCAAGACTGCAGACGAGAAGGCGGCGGAGTGGATATTTCTGGTGGACACCCTCAATTTCTCCTTCTGGGCCCCAGACGAGACCTCCCAGTGTCGGATCTCCTTCCGAGGCGTCTCTTACACCGGATATTGGGCCCTGTGCGCCGCTGTCAACAGGGCGCAGGAGGTATTTCTCGTTGGCGCGCCGGCTCGTCTTCTTTCATGACATCACAACTGACCAATCTTTCAGAAAGGAATTCCCGTCTGCCACTCCGACTTCTACTCCAAGATGACGGAAGAGCGAATGAGGGACATTCTGCGTTCTGATTCGGATCACGAGATGCCCCTGGTGCCCGACAGGTGTCGCGTTCTGAGAGAAGCAGGAGCCGTCTTAAAGGAGGTAAGTGCTCTTGCCGTCTTCTTTCCCCATTACGTAAATCTCTCTCGATCAAAAATGACACTCGTAGAAATTCGGGGGCAAATTCGTCAACGTGCTATCCGAATGCGAAGGGAGCGCCCGGAAGTTGATCCAGCTGGTGGTGGAGAACTTTCCTTCCTATAGAGATGAGGCCACATATAAAGGTCACAGAGGTAAGACGTAGGTTGGCACGAAATCCTTCGACGTCATTTCTGTCTGCTTGGCTTTTCAGTGTGTTTCTACAAGAGGGCGCAGATCTTGGTGGGGGACGTCTGGGCCTGTTTCGAGGGAAAGGGCCTGGGATATTTTAAGGACGTCGACGTCGTCACCGTCTTCGCCGACTACAGGTAAGCCCCCTTTCGTCACCCCCACCTAATTAGGTTTAATTAACAAAGTTTCCCACTCCATCCCAGAATACCACAATTGCTGCTCCACCTGGGCGCTTTGGAGTACTCGGAGGAACTGACGGAAGATTTGAAAAAAGGCAAGTCGGCTTCCTCCCCTCTGATACACCCGGATCACAATGGTTACTCCGCGTGCATTAAAGAGGAGGAAGCGTAAATCTTAGTACACGTGGAACGCACTCGACACGTGTACTAAGATTTACGAACGCAGGAACGGAACTGGAAAACGGTTCGGAGAAGGAAGTGGAGATTCGAGGATGTACCATTTGGGCGGCGGAAGTACGACTATCCTTTCTTTTTTATATATACAATAAACGCCCGCATTATACAGTGTGTTGTTTATTACAGAAGATAGTAGAGGAACTGCGAAAGAGGACGGAGAAAAGAGGCAACGCGGTGGTCAATTCCATTCTGGTGGACTACTTCCTGTGGGACTACAGACGCGAACACAGAGAAGAAACGGACGCCACGCCCTTCCACAGAACCCGTTGTATCTACTACTGATGACGTAATACAATAAAAATCTTTGAGACAACTGTTCAAATATCTTTAATCGAGAATCGTTTAAAATCCCTTTATATAGATTTATATACGGAGAAGTAGAACCGATACAATTTTTCTGAGATCGAGTAAGAAATAATCGTTTGCAAGAATAAATATACATGATTTTTTTTATCTGTACAATCACAATTGAATGCGGTGTCAATTTCACAATCGATTAATTAAACAACAGAAAAAGTAATAATAATATGCAAACACGCTTCGGGAGAGTGCATTTTCGTTTTCAATGATACTACTATTATACAAGACGGAAACGAACGGGAAATATATATATATATATAGGCAAAAATGCAACTCTTAAGAAAAAGTAACGCGTAACACAATTTCCCAAACGTTACGTTGTTGACCAGAATTTATATTTTATTACAACAATTATTTTATGTTTATATATATATTTATATATGGCCGCTTCTGGTTTCTCTTATATACTAGTTACAGGAGGGGGAGCAGAAGCTGCAGGTTATACAATATTCTAGCTATATTCACGTTGTTACAAATAAATACAGTACTTACACGTCTGCCGGTTGGTTTAAAAGTATCACAGTCGACTGTCGTAACTTACAATTTCTAAAAATAAGAAAAAGAAATCTCGAAAGTTCGGTTACGTTACGTTTTTTTTTTGTTCCCAGTGTTAAGATTATAAAAAACGAATCTAAGTTATATACTAAACACACGTTTGTTTGTTTGTTTGTGTTTTTAGTGTCCCGTCTAGAAAAGGAACGTTAATTCGCAGCTGTATTTTAAGAGGGTGCGTAACGAATCGGGGGGTTAACTTTTATAGTTAGCTGAGCAATTTTTTTTGTTGTTGTTAACGAATATTGGCACAGACGACGACGCCGCGACTCCACTTTTGTTTCATTTCTAACACTAAGTAAACATGGAAGCATGACGAGTCCCCGAACTAACACACTACGAATGGACTTGGACCCATTTGATATGTCGGAATGAAACGACAGAGAATCGAAAGTCTTATTGTTATATATATACAAACGATCGAAGTGGTAACGTTTATCACATTTGTACGCAGCTTTCTTAATGAAACTAAATTTAAAAAAAACTAAGTGTTAAAAAATAAATTAGTGGCTACTTTGACACTTCGTGTAGATGATATGGTGGCATTTCTCCGGTAGTTTTTTACAAATTACTAAGCTACTGGGGTGGCTATTTCCGTTTCTTTGGTAGTTAGCGTACTGTAGAAAGGGTTACTTTCTAAAATTTACACATATTTAAAAATCTAACAACAGAACTACACATACACGCACGCACACACACACACACACACACATATATATATATATATATATTTATATATCGATACGATCACAGCGAAATGTCAGTATAACAAAAAGGAAAGAGTAATCACAAAAAAATGTAGGAGCGTGTCGTACCGACATTTCACTTGTTTTGAATGTTGTTTAATTTTAAAAGCACTTGACCCATTGTTTACGCCTTTATCACATATTTCGAACAACAACGCAACAGGCACTAGGCACACGGACAATTGTTTCTTCCCTAGTTCTCTGCGCAAGGGAAACAAGTTACTTCATTGCACTCTCTTAGTTTAAAAACGGAGCGAAATTGTTGGCAAAATGGGACACACTCGCAAAATAACAATAATAACCAACGAGTGTGCGGCGTTCTTTTAGTGTTTAGCAATCTCGCCGCAAACTGCAACCGGTGCCGGTAACAATATTATACAAACGATTTAAATTATTACGAAAGAAAATGGCGGACAAACAAATCAAATGCTGGCATTACAGAAGAACGTCTAAGCCAGTGGTTTACACGATGCGACGGGTGGTGGCGACGAGCTCAATAATTGATTTAATTAGGTATTGAGTGTCGCGCGCGTGGTGGTCAGAATACCAGCATCAAAGAAGCCGCACTATTGGTCCAAGAGCTTTGCCATTGACCCAAAACTCTAACGTTCTTAGTCGCATGTTAACACGCGAAACACAACGCATAAAATATCGCATTTTACCATCAATTTTACTCTGTCGTCGATAATTTCGGGCATTTGCATTTTTTAAAGAATTTCATGGGCCAACTCAACATAAACATATGCAAAAATTCAACTCCGAACAGACAACGGAAACAATCTCAAAACGGCGACAATCGGAAACGTCAGACTTTTCAATCGGTGGATCAAGTGCTTTTCGCCAAATTTTGATATCTATCAACCTCCCTAAGACGGAACTCCTAAGTAGGAAAATAAAAAGTTCTATTCGGTGACACTAACGTTACCTTGTCGAGCCAGAACAGAACACGAGAAACTACCGATTACGCACGCTGTGTTTTTCTATGTAGTGTATGGCATGGTAAACGAATAATTAAGTGGAATGTCCTTATTCCCCTATTGTTTTGAGCATTCTGTCGATACAACCAAATGGTAATTACGTAACACGCGCAAACGTTACGCGTGCGGCAAAATCGGTTACGCAAAAAACAAAACACCGGGCAACTTAACAAACCCGCTCCTTCCACCGCACGCGCTCGACGTTTCTTCACGAAAAGGCACTGACAGATTCGTGATTTAGTAATTTTTTCGGAAAGAAAAAAAACACGCACAAAAAAACTGCAATTTCTGCGTTTTTACCGTCGAAGAAAGGTTGTTACGACGCGTTTAATTAACGAAATTTTAAAATTCCAACCAAAATGGCACTGAATGGAGCTTAAAAAACTCACAACTACTACTTCCAAATGCAATCGTCCGTTACGTTTCGAGTTTTCTCCTCCCTCCGTCACGCGACGAACGTGGAAACGAGAGTAACAGACAAAGAAGGATCTGACTTTATGACGACATCGAACGCATAATACGACACTTAACACACGTTTTTTTGAACGTTTCTTCCAAAAAAAATCGAGTAAACAAATATACACGTGGCATATATATGTATACTGTATACGTGGATATACGGATATACAATGGTACTGTACGTACATTATATTCGCCTCACCTGCGTCACACCGGTCGAAAATCTATGCGGAATATTTCGAGTCTGCTTTAATCAACTGATTTTAATATAGAAATTTTTAATTGTTAAAGATAATTACGATTGTTTAAATTTCAAATATTAATCTTAAGAGGTCGAAACTTTTAATAAGCTCCTTAAAATTTTCGTGACGTATCGGTCCGTCCGCTGGCCGTTACTTCTTTTAAACTGTTACGCGCGTCGCGGCCCGTCGCTCGAGGCGTAACCAGCAATATTGTACCACCGGTTCGGAAGTACGGTTAAGCCAATTTTGCTGACGTAACGCTAACTTTAGAAATTAATTTAACCAATTGAAATCGTTAAACTTCGGCTTTCGACCGGCCATGTCACTGCCGATTAGTCGAATGCCACCATTCGACTTCGATAATTCGTTTCTGCCAATGAGTTTAGATTGTTACGTACTAATTAAGAAACAGAACATGCGACGTTCGAAAATTTTGTAAAAATTTGGCAATATTCCGTCAGGAACCTGCGAAAGCGTCATATTTAACGGCAGAAATAGCAAAGATTGGTCGAGATAAAGGTAACGTCGCGTTCGAATCACGTTACGGAACGGCATCGAAAATCGATCGGGCGCCACCTGAATCGAAAAAACCCGATTACGAATTTTTTCATGACGTCATCGGCAGAAGGCCGGAGCAAAAGCTATCGAAACGCTTGAATTTCGCTAGGAAAAACGCCCTGTCACGCCTCCATTCGTACAAACTTTTATTACGAACGATAACGATAAATTTTTTTTTATCGTTTTTAAAAATAAAGTTTCGTATTAAGCGCAATGACAGAATTCTTCCTCGATACAATGAACCCCGATATTGCCATCTAAAACCGGTACCTAGAAATCCGTGCTAGCATAAAATGAAGATTACCTTCCGAAGCGTGTAACTTTAGACAATGGAGTAGAATAAAAAAAAAAATACGGCATTATGTACTGTACTGTACTGTACATTCGTAGCAGACAATGCACACGAGTAGTAAAATCGAGATTTTGCTCTCCACCCAGAAGTCGATAGATATACTGGTTCACAGATACTAATAGCTCTAATGTTTTGGTTGGTTGGTTGGATTTGGGGTTTTTGTGGCACAAGAGCCTAAGTAGGCTCTAATGTTTTTGTATTTTGTTCACAATTTGTGTTCTTTTTAAATATTTTCGGAGTTTTCATAATGGGTAAAAAAAAACCTTAAGCCAATTTTGTATTCATTATTAATTTGGGATGCCTTCGGGATTACCGAGAACCCTCTTTTCATCAGGAAGAAAAGGGATTGATGAGAATTATATTAATTTAATTATGGAAATGTATAGAAGTTAGTTAAACAAAGTGTTAGGATAGATTAAAGTGTTATAAAAAGGGGATTTAGGATAGATTGGAGTTTATCAAGGTTTAACTTTCTTTCTAAGGCCCATATCTTTATTATTAGTATTAAGTGAATTATTGCATGACGCAAAGAGAAGGGAGCTATGATATATGTTATTCACAATTGACAGTGTTTATTAATGATGTTATTAAAATTGAGCCAAAAAAGGTTAGGAACAGATTAGAGAATAGGGGATTAAATTTCGGTAAAAAATTCAGTTCTTTGAATTCGGGTATGGGCTGTTAGAGGAAAGAGGGAATTAGACTTTAGAATGAGTTTAAAAAATGAAAATTCCAAGTATTTTGGGTCGTATTTATAGACAGACAAATTATATGTTGACAAATAGAATAAATGTAGGATAGCAAGAACTCAAATAGTATTATTACACATTGACAGTGACTGCGATGACATGGTGTCTGATATACAGTAGATCCCCCTATAAAACGGGTTCATATGATACGGATTAGTATATAACGGCGAAAAAATTGCAATCGTATTCGTATAAGCACGCTAAAAGAAACTCGTGATACGGTAAAACATCATCACCGACTCGTGTCGCGATAGGATTGGTCGAATCTAGACCAATAGCGGATATTGCACAAACAGTTAAGTTTAAACGAGCAGCGGACCTATTAAAAACCATTTATTATTTAACGGCCATAAAAATTATATTTATACTAATGATGTCTCCAAAGTTCAGCAAATTTTTCGCAGAAAAATAATTATCAGGAAAAACGCGCCCGCCGTTCGATGCGCCGCTCCACGAAGAAAACAAGCTTAAGCAATGGCGTTGTTGAACAGTGCACACTCGGTAAGTAATCCTACAATTTTTTGTTTATAGCATAGTTTATATGGATTATTCCCAAAAAATACGTGTTTTGGAAATGTTCGAGTCAAATTAGTCTAGAATCGATTAATTTTATGGAAGAAAACCTTTCAAACAACCGTAGTCCACAAACTGCATACGTGCCGGGCTGTGATTGGCTCATGTATTTAAGGATTCGTAGAACATGAATTTCATAAAACACGGAACGTATCTACCGTGTTATGGGGGTCTATTGTATATACTGTATATATATGTGACTAAAATACCAAGTAGCATATGAGATATAGGCATAGACATAAAAAACAGTGTCATAAATTACCAAAATATGTAAAGTCAATGTGTTTGTAATAAGAAATGTAATTTCATACGTCAAATCTACAAAAATATTTCATTCCAAATGCTATTTCTCAACATACTGAATCAAATTCATTTTCGATTTAATTTATCCACATCATCATCTGTAATTTCAAATCATATTAAATTTTTCCAAAAACAAAATACACTTTTCCCCCCTTTAAGCATAATATTAGTAATTACATTTTTTTTAATTTTATAAGATTTTTCTTGACAAATCCATAGGAAACACAAATTACAAAAACCACTTGAAAATGGCAAAACTATCTACCAACCGAATGGATACAACAGCTTCTACTAGAGCCCTCTATAAACAGAGTATGGTCAACTGGGGGGGGTCAAAATATGATTGGATACTGCCGATCACGTGGTTTATGGACGCCATTATGAGGCCAGCTTCCGATCCGCTTATGACAAGCGAATGTCAATCAGCTATTTATTACGATAAATAACAGAATTGGAAACTTTATATACCAGATAATTTCGATCTAAAATAGATTCTAAACATCGCGTTAGTTCTTACTTTACTATACTGAGGTTACAAATCATTATTTCAGCCTTTAGATCTGCCGATACATCTATATCGCTCTTAAAGCTACCATATAAAAATAGATCATGCCGGGTTGTTCAGTAATTAATTGCTCAAATAGAGCTCCTAAATTCAAACTGCATCGATTTCCTAGTGATGAAGCTAGAAAAAAAACATGGGCGATTAAAGTAAATAGGCTGAATGAAAATGAGAAATTATGGATTCCTGGAAAACATGCATTACTTTGTGAGGTAAGAATCAGAATTTTTATGAGAAAGGACTTCTGCTTTGACTACCTATTTAATTGTACATTACACATTAATAAACTAAGGCTAAAGTGTATTAAGTCTGTTACATTTTATTGGTTTAGTGAGATGTGAATATTTACAATTAACTCTCATAGGCTCATTTTGAGAAAGATCAGTATGAGAATCACAGGAAGGATGAAAGAAGATTGCCGAAGCGTGATGCCGTGCCTACACTTTTTTCTCGCAGACCCGCACCTAAGAGAAGATGCTCTGGACCAAAAACAGGGCATAGAAACAATTGTGAGCGTATAGATCCGACCTTGGACCACAGTTATGCTACAAATTTATTTCCTATGACATATATGCAGCCCACTAAGGTATATTTATAATATAAATTTAAAATATCCTTATTAAATATTCTATTTTTTCTTATTGCATACTTTGTTTCTTTTTGAAGAAAATGGTGATGACTGTAAAAGCACGAATGGAGACGAAGATAATGAGACATCTGGTCCAGTATTTCGGGACTCCGGTAATCTCGTTAGCCAGCCACTGTCACCAAAATCAAAACAGATTAATGAACTGAAATCTCAATCGCATAATGCGTTACATAGAGTTAAAAGAGTGCAGAAAAGTAAGGAGGATCTCTACGAAGAGATAAGAAAAATTAAAGTCTAGAGTCAACACACAGAGTACAAACATAAAATTAATTTTCAATCCCGATCAAATGAAAACCCTTGGTAACGTGTCAACACGAGGAATAAAATGGCAAAATAATACGATAAGAAAGGCTCTGCAGTTAAAATCTGCTTGTGGAAGATCAGGCTATGAATAAACAATATTTAGTGATTATGGGTGACTTTTGTTGCACACTTGGTTTACTTGCAGGAAACACGAGTGTCGTTTAATTTATATTACTAAACAAAGAATTGTTTTAAATTTTATCTAATATTCTTTGAAGAAATACTAAATATTAATCCATTTTCCATCTTCATAACCGTATATGACTAAATCAATTAATTTTAACGTGAAAAGATAGCTCAATTACATCTTAATAAATATTCTATCTTGGTCGAAAACAGTTATATTAACTTTCGAATACTCAATGCACCTGGTGTAATTCTGAGTCTGTCGATTTTTCACCTATTACAGAACCGTCAAGGTTTAGCAAGTTTGTGTGATTCACTTGATATTAAACGGATATTCCAGTGCGGTTCTCTCCTTGAATTTAGAATGAACATAAATAATGTCAATAAAAAAGACTTATATAAACTGTATAATTATTTCATCAAGATTACAGAAATGTTAATAAACTAAAGTCAACAGTTTCATTGTTTATTATTATTACGTAAATGTTAACATTTTCTGTATTGTCATCCTTGACGTTACTGATTGTGATTATTTGGAATGTGTATATTTGAAATCAATTGTCAAATAAGAGTATAAGTCTAATAATAATTTGGAAACTGTTGCAAGTTTTTTGTAACCCTTTCATTAACAAATGTACCACCCCCTGTAACAGGGAAATTACCCTTTTTGTTAATAAATGATTGATATTTAGTGATTATCTGCATTCCTTGCAAGGAATGCAGATAATCACTATTTGTTACTATGTTACACTATGTTACTTGAGTTTTTCTTGTTTAAAAATAAACTTTATTGATTTTTTGTCTTTATTATATTTTTAAATTTAAATGCAATTTTTTATATTATTTATATTGCAATAGCGCTGTGAATAAATGTGATCCGCTAAATATAATTTTTTAATATTTTCACTTTTTTGCTTCTAGCCCTGTTATTATTATATATTTTGTCCATCACTTATAAACTACAATTATTCCGAACATAATTAAAAATTATTTCTAAAAATGTTTAATTTAATATAATTTCTTTCTGAATCTGATTTCTGCTCATTTAAATTATTAAACATTGCTCATTTAAATGCTAAACAGTACTATGACACTGCAACTTTAGTCTCAAGATGGCATCCAAGCATTAGAGTGGCCATACTCTGTTTATATAGGGCTCTAGCTTCTACCAGCCTCAAGCGACAGCTGTCGGCTACTTGAGACATTAACTCTAGAACATAGCTGTGGGATCAGTATATCTTTTGACTCTGGAACAACTAAATATGCTGGCGTTAAAAACGTTGTAGGGGTCGAGACACGTTAAAGCGTATTGTCGCATAAGAAAAAAATTATTTTTAAATTTTAGACTCCAAAATTAAATAAATTCGATTTGGATAAACATTTTGGATGCAATTTCTACTCTTCGTGAAAGCGCAAACGGATGTAGCGGGTGTTTCTGAAACCATATTGTCGAAAGATTCGCAGAGAAGACGAAATAATCGGAATATCGAAGGAATACAAAAGATCGAATCGGACCGTCGGGTCTAACATGACCCGAGCGGGAGGGGAGAGAAAACAGAGACGACACACGCTGACGTTGGTAGGAAATTGGGCGAAAATTCCCTAAAAACCCTACTTCTTCGGCAAAGTCCTACCGAATTTCTTTTGCGGAACTCGATACAACTCATTAACAACTTATTCGTATAACAATGGACCATCGGTAGAGCCAACTCCCGAAGAACTAGGCTAAAACATTCGGCGGACTCTGAAAATAGCACGTCCGAAAGGGCCGAAATTTCACAAGTTTTGTAAATCTAATCGAAGACACATTATATTTTCAGATAAAGAACAAAAACGTTTAAACGAATTAAATCGTCACAATTCTGAAGTTTATTTTAAAACCCCCACCGAAAAATCAATTTGTAGGAACGGCTGCGTGACCGGGCGCAAACGCTGTCGTGACATTCGTGAGAATATTAATATTTAAATTACCTTTCTTTTGTGAAAAAATTAAGTTTGTTTCTCTTTCCTTCCCGCTCACGTCCTAGAATTATCGGTTTTTAAATGGAAAATTCGAATAGCGTTAATTACGTTAATGCGCAACTTATAACACGTTGGCGAACTAAGTAAACTCGAGCAAACGATCTTCGCGTAGTCCGTAGCACACGTTATACTGCCACCGGTGACGTCAAAATTCGGTAATCGGGCAACTTCCGAAAGGTCTCGTTTCGTTCCCCCTTCGATATAACGCCAAATTTCGTACCGGACGGTAAAACACCGCGTAACTTACGTAGCGGACAGCCGACGGACTGACGCTATCTTGAATTTTTGTATAAAACATTTTTTGTACGAATGACGTATAAATATTTAAAATTTCCTCCGAAATTCTTTAAATGTTTAGCTAAATCCTTAAGCATTATTTAAAACTTTTTTAAATACGTGTATAGGGATATATAATAATATTATTTTAGATTAAATATTAAAAAATGTTTAAGAAGCGGGTTTAGGTTGACTCGGATTAGAGCTTCTCCCCCGATTAACCGCGCTTTACGCTAACAGTAAATGTTTTGTTTTTCTTGTATTTTTAAATGAAAACGGCCCGTCGCAAACGTGTAAAACGAGACGTGACGATATTAATAATACGATATTGGCAACGATAACGCGCGTTAAAAATGGCAATATTAGTAACATCGAAGCGAACGATAACATCTAATCTACGGAATTCTCGACTCGAATCCAACGTAACCCACTCGATAAAAGTAAACTTGCCTGTGTTTTTTCCGGGAAGCGAAGGTCCTCAATGTTACAGGCACGCGTGGCAGAGAGAGAGATTTTTTGCATGACTTTACAATCACAAATTACGTTTGTTTCTTCTTCGAACGTTCTGCATATTACAATTGTGCATATTGTTTTTTTTTTCTGGTCGACTCGCTGTTCGACCCGGTTACGGCCGAAGGCGCGGAGTATTTGCAGAAATTTGGAACGACGTTCGATGTCGGGTCGAAGAGAGTGTCCGGGTGAGCAAAGATATCCAGAAGATGGGATCGGATGAGCACCATGAAGGATCCGTCCGGACGACGGCAATAAATATCGTTTAGGCTATTTACACTTCTGTTTGGTTCCCTCGTCTTTATCTCTGGTACAGAGTCACGGAGGCAATGTGGTTGCTGGACATTATCTGCACGAGGAAAAATAGTCACACTATTAGTGCCCATCCTCTGTTTTAAGTCGCCTTCCGACGGGCTCCTTTTACGTTACGTTTACTCGTAACGCCTTCTTATGTCGACCAGACGTAACCTAACCCAAGAAGAGCCCGTCCGAACGCAGCCTAAATCTTACATTAAGCAATAAACCCGTCCGAACTTCGTTACGGCACGCTCGGATTTTCCGTAACCGTGGCTAATTATAAATACACCGTTCCATTTATTATCGTAACAAACTTATGGCGTCTACGAAATTTCGGAATTACTAACTGCTCTTTAAAATTGGTTGTGGCGGACCCGGGTTCCGCTTACGGGGCGTGGCAGAATTCTCTGACAAACGACAGAGTATCAGGCGTGTCACACGCACCAACTGCCGTAAATCAGGCCTGCTCTAAATATTTGGTTCAAAATAATTAAACTGTTTGAAGTTTAACCGTAACGATGTTCGTTTTACAATTTTACGCAATCTCTTTCGTTATACTAATTAAAAATCGCCCCCTCCGAGATTTGCCACCACCAAACACGAAATTCTTTCTTCCGCGTTACGCAAGTTCCGAATATGTATGTACAGTACGTCGAATAAACGTAACTCGGGGGGGAACTGTTATAAAAGGGAACTTACTTCGAATATCATATCTTGATAACCGTAACAAAAAGTAGAACCGAACGGGTTAGTAGAGTTGAGAGAATTGCTCCTGTTGAGTACGACCGGCTGTTCGTCCGGTTTTATTAACCTGTCTTGTATCGTGTCCCACTGAAAAACGTAAATTTTAATTTCTCGGTAAAGAAACGTCTCAAACGGTTAAAAAAATAAACTCGGGTTTACCTTGGTGAAGGCGGAAATGAGTTGCACGTTTTGATCGGTGACGTCCACCAATATTGCACCCTGCGAGTCGTTGGACTGCGAATTTATAGGAATAGAGAAATTACACCGAAAGTACATGTTGAAGTTGTAATGTCCGGGATAATTCGTGTGCAGAATGAATTTCTTCGCACGATGACACTTGGAATCGAACAGAATGTCCTGTAAGAGGAGGGTGGAGCCATCGCATTAATTACGCCATTCGATAACGAACAGGCAGATGGAAAATTTTTTGAAAATTGTACTGGTTTTATGCGAGAGTGAAAAGGTTACATACTAAGACTAACCATTCCTAAAGTGGTGTAGTTGAAAAAGTAGTCGGAAGATGTGGATGCCACGAATCTGTGGGGCCGAGGAGAGTGAATCTTCATTTTGTCTTCGGCTTTGAAAAATATCTTGGGGGGAGATCCCAGAAGAGACGTTATGTCCTGCCACCATTCCATTGTTTTTATTTACAATATTTTTAAATGGTAAAACTGCTCGGTTAAAAACTAGGAAGAGAAATCTACTTACTTGAGCCGTGTTGCCGAATGTTATCGTCTTGGTTATTGTCTGCCTTTTTAATTCTCTCGACTTTTTCTGAGCGGGAGCTAAACGTAAAAATCAACAACGGAATTTTTAATTACGCTTAATTTATTTACATCTTCGTCGGTGGCAAAATTCTTGAAAATATTACGGACGAGGAGAGTTTAAACTTATTTTCTACTACGCGATATGTCCGCCCTCGATTGACGGAAGGTGGGATAAAAACGTTTAAGACTACAAAAACTCTGTACTTGGTAGCGTGAACAGACAACTGTATGGATTAAACAACTCCACAAAACTAACTGCTAACTTCTTAAAAGTCGATGAACTTAAACAACTAACTAATAAGGATTCAGTCGACAGTTTACCGCTCTTGTTACGTCACAAAAGTTTAATCGCCCGTGTATTTTATACTCGACGTAACAAATCCTCTATTCACGCAGCCTCCTCGCAAGCAAATTGAAATATGATAACTGATGAGAGCCTCTAATCGCGTCAGGAAATATAACGCGGAGAACTTAATACTAATAAAACAATGTTAAGGTTCTTTGCACATCGATTAGTTTCAATTACCGCCAGGACCGTTATTTTTATTAAAATTCTAGAAGAGACAAAGACCATCTCTTCCCAATTTTAAACTTCTAAACATAATCGTGTATATCTTAAAATCACATCACTCGACATTTTATCTTCGGTCCAATTTATAATTGAAAATTTGGCACCACAAACAGCTTTCGCTTAAATTGCAACAAAAATAATAAAAGTATCGGTTGATTTTCAAAAAGGTAACTTAAAATTTTGAAAATTTAACATAATAAAATCGCAAGAAACTAAGCAATTTTACCTTAAATAATAAAGGTAAACGGTTATCATTTTATTATTCTTGATATGGCTAATTTGTAAAATGGACGTAACGAAGCAAAAGAAGTGGCAACTAAACATCCCAGTTCTTTCCCTATTTATTATTAGTGAGGGTGCGGCCGACGTTTTCAACGCGAAAACGTGTACGTCGGACGTTCAGCACCGCTTTCCTAAAGGCCTAGAAGTTTGGCAATGGTGTTTGGGACGTCGAGCATGATTCCACTGACTATCCGAACACCATTGTCAAACATCTAGGCTTATAGGAAAGCGGTGCTGAACGTCCGACGTACATGTTTTCGCGTTGAAAACGTCGGCAGCAACCTCTCTATTTTGTGCGTTAGAAACTGCTTTCCAATAATCTATTTTCCTTTCTAATTTGTTATTTTAATTTCAGCTTTATGTATTGAAGTATTTCGTGAATTAATTATTTCGCTAAAATTATTAAATTTTACCTTCTGTTATAAGATACAACTTCAGCCCCAGCGTTTTGTCTTTTTTACGTAAAACTTCTAACTTCTCCAAGTAGCAATAATTATAGAAGCAGGTCACCGGCATGGCGGGAGGTCTGGAGAAAATACATAATTAGAATTATACTTATGCAAAAGTTAAGCCAACTACCATGCCAACAAAAGTTTTAGAAGATTAACTCACTTAGGATCCATATAATTATTCCCGCTATATATGCACATTTTGGTAGAAACGACGACAGAAGCACCGTTCGGAAAATGGAGGCTTCTTAGTCCCGGCGTGTACCGTGGCTGTCAGTAAATTTTATATTAAAAAATATAAATTTGTCAAATTATTTAAGAAACGAAAAATATTAAATTAATAAAAGTTCATAAAATTACATCAAAATATCTTCTTAACTTTAATTTCAGAATACAATTAAACTTCAGGTCTACTTAGAACTTATCAATGCGACTTTACTATAGATATTTAAATGTAGTGCATTATATTAACCTTTTGTCCATTTAATCCGTACTGTAGAGCTCAAATAATTTTACCATCGCTTGAGAATAGGGTGGTCGATTACACGATAAGTAATATGTTCACACTTGGAGGGAGTCCCAAATATATTAAATTTCATTATTATAATTAAATATTTATAAATACAGTACTGTATTAAACAGATCGTGGAAGGATCCCAAAATTGGCTGGACTTTTAATTTGTTACTGCCTAAATAAATCGTATAACCCAGGATATCAAAACGGAAAGAACAAGTAAATCATTAAATTAATCCCTTTTCTTAATGTAGTTTTTTCTGAACAGTATTATTTAATAATTAATCAAATAGCAATAATTATAGTTAAATTATAATAAAGATTAAATTAGTTTAAATAGTCATTTCAACTGCAGAAATCTGACTTTTATACATATAAGAAAAAAAATCTCATTAAAGCTGTGAGAAATTTGGAACCAAAACTAAAAAGTATTAAAATAAAAGACAAATTAATTTTCGATAAAATATAAAATAAAATTAGAATAACTGAGTACCAATAAATTAACATTTAGAGATAAATGCTATACAGATATTTAAGAAATTCTTTTTTATCTTATAAAACAGTATTTTATAGAATTTGAAATTATCATCCTGTACATTAATTTTCTGTAATGTCTACCAGATTAACATTATTAATGTAATTATTATTTAAGCGTGGACTATAATGTAAGAAGTTCTAAAAGACAAGCTCAAAGTACTATAATCAATAAAATAACCTTTCATAAATGTATGATTACATGATTAATGATTACAGATGTAATAATAATTTTAAAACATGTTTTTGACATTTAAAAACCTTCATAATTTTAACTTTATTGCATTTAAAAAGGTTATTCCTATGTTCCCACAATTAATTTTATTAACCAAATCACATATTTGACCAAAAGAAAAAAGTAACATGGCAAAAATTTGTAAAGTTATGGAATAAAAGAGTGATAGAGTCTGGCATTGGTGAAATAATTTTTATTTGAAAAGAATAAAAACTGCATTGAGATTTGTATTAATACTTTATATATTGAATGGCCAAAGTTAAGGCAGTGACCTACCCACTCTGGGTATCCAGGATAAAATTCCGACAGGAAGAAAACATTTTGGGGGTCCTTCTAAAAAACACAGAGAACATTTTGAAGTCCTTCTGGATGCATCAGGCCCCATCCCTTGCCACCTTGCCAAACCCAAAACAGGCCTGGTAAAAGGCCTTGTTGTTGCCAATGGCATGGAAAGAGTTTAAAAAATATTAATTTGTGTAGTAACTTTCACTTTACACTTTTTTAGATAATATATACAAATGCAAAATTTCATAGTTTCTAAGATTATATCATTATAATTTCATTCTCAACTCAAAATTTCTTTCAGTTTACAACAGATACCAGTTATATTCAACTGATGAAATGAATTTAAAGATTTCAATTTTATTTTTAAAAAACATTTATAAAAGTAAGGAGTTTTTAATTTATTAATTTGTCAATGAAGATGCAAGAGCCCAGATTTAGTGAACCTTTTTTGGCTATAACCTTTTTCGCATTTGTTTTATAAAATAAAATGAAATAACGCTTAAACTCATATGGAAAAAAAATCTTTTTTCCACAACACTTAATAAAAAACTGGAAGGATATGATCATATCTTTCTCCAGATTCACTTTGACACATCTTCCTAATGTGTCCCCCGGAACCAACAATTGAAATTCAACTATTGGCCTGACGTAAAATAATTCCTAATAAGGTCATGGGAAAAACACATGAAGGACCCACTAATAAAAAGGAGGAGGTCGATGACAGTCAAGAGTTCACCGTAATTGATAATTCTGTGAACTGGTGTGCTTGCCGATCTCTTTTGGATACTGCTCAAGCCGTTGCCCATCCTTTGCCCTTCTTAAGACATCAAAAGACTTCCATCCTTTCGATTCATCAAAGCTACTTTCAAACCTTGTGGACAAGGAGNTCCTAATAAGGTCATGGGAAATATCCATGAAGGATCCTCCTCATAAAAAGGAGGGGGTCAATGACAATCTGAGTTTGCTGTCATCGATAGTTCTGTAAACTGATATGCTCGCTGATCTCTTTAAATACTGCTCAAGCCATCGCCCATCCTTTGCCCTTCTTAAGACATCAAAAGACTTCCATCCTTTCGATTCATCAAAGCTACTTTCAAACCTTGTGGACAAGGAGATCCACCAATTCTGCGATAAAAACAAAAAGGGACCAACTTCTACTAACTAAGGTATTTATTGATGCACAAACAATTGTAAACTCTCTTGGTCAGGGTTGTGATATCAATAATAAGTTTTATAACTAGAATCCGCTAAGCATCTAAAACCAACATATGTATATAGTCTTTTGAGCACTATATAGTGTAAATACATGCACACTTAGCAATCGTTGCCCATCCTTTGCCCTTCTTAAGACATCAAAAGACTTCCATCCTTTCGATTCATCAAAGCTACTTTCAAACCTTGTGGACAAGGAGTACATCGATCCACCAATTCTGCGATAAAAACAAAAAGGGACCAACTTCTACTAACTAAGGTATTTATTGATGCACGAACAATTGTAAACTCTCTTGGTCAGGGTTGTGATATCAATAATAAGTTTTATAACTAGAATCCGCTAAGCATCTAAAACCAACAGATGTATATAGTCTTTTGAGCACTATATAGTGTAAATACATGCACACTTAGCAATCTTCACCTTAAGTTTATTCAGTTTTATATAGATTTCAGTTTGTATATAGTTTTGTAAATAGTAGGTAAATAAATGGGTATTTGTTAAATGATAAATTTGTTGTGGAATGCACTTCTTCCAATTGTCTCAATCCATCTCCATTCTGAGTCCAAGCAGCTATATACACAACCGCTCACGTGGTAACATAATAACTAATGGCCATCGCAATTTCTGTGTCAGTTAAGACACGGTGGCATCAGTCCTGACATAGCATCAAAGAGGTGCCGACACTGCAGTCACAAAGATATGAAATAGACAGGTGAATATATGAAGAGGAACATAGCACTTATTGAATTCGAATAAGTGATTATGAAGATTTTCTTCTCTTTTTCATAAATTAGATCTTGCATATAAGAGAGACATCAATAAAATAATTTTAAATTCAATGCTAAGTAAAATTTATAAAATTATTTGGCAATTTGTAATTTACTCAATATGATTTACTTTCACACGTTTTATATTTGCAATATATCAAATTTTTTGTTCATTATGGGAGATTGAGTCCTTGAAGTTCACTGCTTCACTGCATTGATTTAAATTTTTGAAAAATTTTAAAATAATAAAATTAGAAACAAAATAAAAAATTCAGCAAAAAGTAAACAATTGTAACAATCTCTAGAATGTTGTTGAATGTACAGTACTTGTTAAGATTTATATAAAGGAAATAAGGATCTTCCTTAAAACAGTGGGCGAAATGACCACTCTCATACAAATGCCAACTTTATCCCAGAGATCTCTCTCTCTCTCCCTCTCTCCAGATAACAATTGGAAAGGAAGATGAATGGACCTCACACCTTTAAAGGTCACAACTGACAAACCAAACACTATCAAAATTCAATCCCAGCTCGTCCAATGTCATTTAAACCACTACAGATTTTCATAATATATATACAAAATGAGTGAGTATGTATATTAAAAATAAAAATTTGTATTTAATTATTATCTAGTAACTAGAATTTTTAAATAAGTAAAAAGCCTGTTTTGAAGTTAGTCTGAACCAAACTTTTTGTAGTTTACTTGAATCTTTATCTTCAGGAATTAAGTAAAAATATCTTAAGAACAGTTTTAGATTTGAACTCTAAGTTGATCAACATTTGAAGAACATTTAAAATTAAAAATTTGAAGAAAGTCATTTTCCTTTCCATTGTGTCCAATCACTAGGAACAAAAAAATTTATTTCACAGACAACCTTTTATTAAAAGTTTGTTCCTGGTGGGTTGAATATGATGACTTAGTTTCTTCAAATTTTTAATTTTTTAAAAAATACAGTCAGTCATTTTAATTAAATATTTTAAACTGTTTTTCAAATTTTTATACTATTTATGTGATATTTCAGCATTGTATCATTGTTTTATACCAGGGGTCGGAACCTGCGGCTCTTTGGATTGAAGCTGCGGCTCTTTAGTTCCATACGCAAATATTTATTTTATCAAAAAAAAAAAACATTTAAAAATCGTTCTGAATCGATTAACGAGGATTAGGCACCGATTCTATCTCTCAGCCATTTGTACTCGCTTTTCACCGCACCCCTCCCCCGTGACACGCGTCGTCACTGTCGTCAGTCCGTCGGAAGCTCTCGAATGACACCGTCGTCGGATGTTTCTATTATCTAATTTGTTGTGAAAAACACTACTTATATATGAATAAATAGATATTTTTTCTTATGAATAAATAGATTAGTTTTTTTTATCAAAAAACTTTATTTATGCGAGTACTATTTATTGTTGGCAAGAAAAAATTTTGTGGCTCTTTAAAAACTTTGAAATTTTGTAAATTGTAATTTTGGCTCTTCCGACTCAAAAGGTTGCCGACCCGTTTTATACAGATTTTTAACTATTTAAAAAAAATTAAATTTTTAAAATATTCATATTACAAATTTTTAAGAGGGGAAAAAATGAAGGAAATGCATATATTGTAAAAAGACAAATATGACTATAAATAATTTTTAACATAATTTATAATGTTTATACACATTACTAAATGACAAAATTTGTTTTATCTCACAGAAATATTATAATTCAGTAAAATGTTCATTGGTGACTAATAAAAACAAAAATAAATCTTAAAAAGTTAACAAAAACATATTTAACTACACATAAAATCAGTTAATATTAAAAACGATTAGAAAAACAAATTTGATAATTCATATGTTTTCTTAAAAATTTTACCTGAAACTTAGAATCAACAGGAAATGAGAAAGACAGGCCTCTGAAGTTTAATATGTACAACTGTTGAGATGCATCGTATTCTGTAAATCATATAGAAATATAAACAACTTATTTACATCATAAGCATATTTATAGCAAGTCCTGCAAACATCAAAATTTCATTCAATTTCAAACCTGAGTTGATAGTTTGACTTTAATTTTAGAGTAACTTTAGTTACTCTAACTAAAATTAAAGGTAAGAAGGTTAACTGTAAAATTTGATTCAAAATATCACATTTTTCTTTAAATTTATTATTATACTTGTTAGAAAATTATAAAAATTTAAAAGTATATCATGTTAAATAATGACAAAAGTATATAAATGTAATGATATCTTTGGCATGCCTTATAAATTATACAACATAGAAATCACTATTAATTTTTCACGCATATGTCCACAGATGTAGCAATAAATGAATATACAGTATTTGAAATTATGTACTAAGATAATCAATAAAATTACTGAATATTGAAAATTTAGCACTAGTAAAATTAATGATATAAATAGGATAAAATACTAAATATCTTCTTTACTTTGTCAATCTTTTATTGATCTAAAACAAAATACTCTAGCAGTAAATTGCCAGTAGTATACTTGCATATATTACATAAATACAGTTCTTAAAATTGACAAGAGGTTATTTTTAATTGTTCTAGCTATAGAAGTTTAAACTAAAAGTGAATAAATTATCTTATAATTTATAGTTTAAACTTCATTACTACAATTTTAATTATTGTGAAATGACTTATTTAGCAAAACTTTTCCTTTATAAGTAATATTTAAATCAAGTAACTATATTGAAATCAAAAAATTTAAAATAATAAAGTAAAAGAATGGTGTATGACGATGAAAATAATAAAATTTTTTATTTTTATTTTATTTTGTGTTTTTTTGGTTGAAAAAGTAAAGGAATGAAAATTGAAAATGTAATCTTTCCAGCTTATTTTTATAAAAAAAGTACTTGAAACTATTGAAGGAGTCACAACTTTTAAACCAAGATGAGCAAAAGATGCTTTTACTTAGCTTGGTTCAAAAGTTTGTAAACAAGCACAGTTGTTCTGTTTGAATCATTAGGATATTAACATCCAATGTAAAGGACTTGAAGATGCTTAATTGTATTAAATAGGTGTGACTTCTCCAATAGTTTTAAATTTTCTTTCTAATGCAATCACATCATATTGTTTGTTCATGATTTATCCTTCTGTTTCTATTCCATTTTTTTAAATTTCAATTGTTGTTATTTTCTAGCAATTCACACATTTCTAAAAATACTAGCCAATCAACAACTTTATTTTACCCAGATGCATTTCGGAAATTACAATATTTCCCTCCTTGATGGGCTCTCGTTCATACAGGCTAAACAAGGCGCACAATTTTCAATATTCCAACCATTTTTTACTAATTTCCATAATAAATCATTCTTTCCTTAACTATAAATATTATCCATAGTCCTTGCCGTCATTACCTTCCATTAGGTAATGACAGTTGGAAATGTTTGTGCCTTGTTTAGCCTGTATGAAAGAGTCCACTGAGGAGGGAAATATTGTAATTTCTGAAATGAATCTGGGTAAAATAAAGTAGTTGATTGGATAGTATTTTTGGAGTCTGAATGTGATAATTCTTAGAAAATAATGGTGTTTGAACCAGTTACATATTGAAATTGTTTATTCATGTTTCATGGTTTTTCTAGATTATATATTATAGGTGTACATTAAACTGATATTCATTCAAACAAATATATTCATTTTATTATATTCTGTAAGCAAATTTTATAAACATATATCCAAAAGAGGTTATTATTCAGGAACTCATTATCCTAATTGCATTCTAGTATATATATATTAATAGTTTAATTAAAATTAGAATATCACAATCTAATTACATAATATATGCTATGGTTTCTTTAAAAAACAATGAAAATCCATATTTCCAATAGCATAGTATAAGAGATAATTAGTCGTCTCCACACACCAGAATGAGATGTAAATAACACTTACATTAAACCTGGTAAGCGGAGTGGTTGTGTAATAGGATAGCTAATGTTTTCAAGGCACATTTAATCCACATTTTAAATCATTATACAGTATGATAGCCAAGAAACGCCAGGTCAGTATAGCATACAGAAGATGCTAAACCATTTTCCAAATACTACGTAACAAAAAAGATCCTCCGAACCCAGTCAGACTATCAGGAATATACACCATCCCACTCAGAGACCACAGATTCGACAGAGATATGGTTTATATTGGCTCCACCAAACATACATTGGGGATAAAGATTAAAGAACATAGAGGTTACATACAACACAACAGATTTACAACGGTTCTCTAAACATATGCCACCGACCAGGAAATCACGGCAGACTTTAATGCAGCACACATTATCCGCACTACCAACCACCCAGAGCTTCTCAAATTCTTGGAGGGTATGGAAATATTCAGAGCAGGATGTAGCAAATAATGCATCAATTTTAAACAGGAGATGGCCCTTTCAACAGCATGGCAGATCCTGCTAGATGATAATAATTAAAAATTTCAATCAACATCAATAAGAAGTGCATGTGCTTTACATAAAATATTGCTCGTTTCATTTAAAACTCCTGGAAGGTTTCCACGTGTGATGATTCAAATGGCAATCTTTTCAAAAGGAAATATTTGATTCGTAACATTCAGCTTCTTTTTTACACAAAAAACCTGAAAAACAGCCCAGAAGGGGCCTCAAAAACGTTAGCTATCCTATTACACAACCACTCCAGTTACCAGGTTTAACGTAAGTGTTATTTATATGAGATAATTTTGAAGGTCATTGCACACACACACACAATGAACTTGAATTCCATTTGGAAGACTCTGCAGAGACCAAAAAGACTGCTACCATTTTAAATTACTTTTATTATTATCCAGGAATGTTACAATGTACATTAAAATATTGGAAAACCATCCAAGTTTTCCAATATTTTAATTTGCCCATCATTACAAGTTTTCAATGTGTGCACTCAGTGTCATACAGTACCCATCTGACCAATACTCATCCTCCCTATGCTTGCTATGGCATATCAGTTGTTACTCCACTCCCTGCAGCCACAATTCTATGGCTCATGAAGATTACACATGACTGATTCCAAATTTGCAAACTGTAGAACACAAAATGCCTTCTCTATTGTGGAGTTACAATTTTTGTTTATAATGCATCCTAAAGGCAGTAGACAAAATGTTCAAATGCAGATGGGAGATGAAACTCAGACGTTTAGGTCATGTACTTCTTAGGTAATAATATAATTAAAGTAATTTGAAATGGTAGCAATCATTTTGAAGACCATGTATTACAGATTAAATGCATAGAATCTAGCTAACTGACCCACTCCAAACTGCTTATTGCTACTAGTGTTGCATAAATCAATAAAATTGCCCAGTATAAACAAATGAACAAATGTTATATGTAAGTACTGTACATATTCTATTGTTTGTACTGCAAGCATTTACTCAATATACATACTATTTATTTAAGTGTGCAGTATTTTATTAGTCACATAATTCAATTTAAACTTAAATCAAGATTGATAATTGCAAGAATTTATAACATAATAACATTTGTAACATAATAAAATTAACTGCAATTTATAATACCTCCAGGATGTGTTGCTCCAAAGGAATGATCGATCTGGTCTAAAGTAGGAGGAACTTCAGGTGAACAAAATGGTATTCCACTTAAAAAAATAAGTACAAAAAGTAAATTAATAATTATAGAACAAAAAATACTTTAATATGTTATAATTTTAAAATATAAGATTTATGTTGTCAGTAATACATATTATACAGTATTATACCTTAAAATATGAGTTTCAACAAATAAATTTTTAAGAAACAGCAGAGAATATCATTAAATTTAAAGTAACTTACCAATATTTTAATTTAACTTTATTCATACTATACACTTCTATGATCTGTTTAAAAAAATTTAATATTTTATTCTTAATGTTTAAAAGTAAATATTTAAAATCTAATTCATTTAAATACTATTAGTCAAACTTGCAGGCTTGTCATACATGAGACAATGAAAATGGTCTAAATAGCATAATAAACATATTCCAAGATGCATTTAGTCTATGTTACTTAGCCCTCTTCAGTTGAATATAGGTCTGAAGTACAAGAAATTGTTTTAAGACAATACAAATATAACATCAACAAGCATACAAAACATGTTTGAAAAATCAACAAAACCAGTTAAAATATGGCATTTACAACTATTAAAGGAACCTTAGGATTTGGTGCCAATCACATTTAACCAAACTAAATCATCAATACATTTAAAGCAGAATGTTGTCATGTTTTCACATGTACTGAACAATACATGATAAAATATATGCCACACCATCTAAAATAGTCTTCCCTTATATGGTGTTACTATAATTCACAATATTTCATGATCTTGGAGATGTAGAATATTCAAGGAGTTTTTTCTGGTGTTCTCCTATACACTGTGATAGACATATTCAAAAGGTGTTATTTGGGTGGTGTTGACCTCATTAAAAATTGTATCCACTTAATTTTTTGAACACTTTAATTCTATAGTAATATAATCTAGGTACAGCATAATACTGTAATTTAATTTAGTTGGATAACCAGACTAATTTTCCTATTTACTCCTAGTATCCATATTATACCAAAATGGTTACTGTACTATTACACCAAATTGACACCTTATTAGTCAGACATATCAACTTAATTCCTTGAATATTCTACAACTCAAGATTATGAAATATTGTAAATTATAATACACATATAAGATTAATAAAGCCAATCACTGCTGTATGTCATCAGGCTATATAACAGTTATATTAATAATAAATTACCAAACAATTTGACCCTAGAGGGAGGCCTTGGGAGCCATCTTGTAATAAATTTAATAATTATAATTTTAATTAAATAATTAAATTAAACTGGAAGAAAAGAATTGGCCTGGAGTAGGACTCAAACCTGCAACTGCTGCTTACCATGCAGATGCATTGCCAATTATGCTACCCAGCACATATATAAACAAACAACTTGTTTTTTTATATATATGCCTTGCAAGGGTATACAATGGATCCTGGTAGCATAATTGGATCCTGGTAGCATAATTGGCAATGCATCTGCACGGTAAGCAGCAGTTGTGGGTTTGAGTCCCATTCCAGGCCAATTCTTTTCTTCCAGTTTAATCAAAATTATTTAATTAAAATTATAATTACTAAATTTATTACAAGATGGCTCCTAATGCTTCCCTCTAGGGTTAAATTATTTGGTAATTTATTATAAATATAGCCATTATATAACCCAATGGCATATGGCAGTGGTTGGCTTTATTATTATAATGTATTGGTTTCTCATAGTGTTGTTTATTCACATATAAGAGATTATTTTAGATGGTGTGGCATTTTATCATGTATTGCACATGTAAAGTGTAATGTTGTCATATTTTTATATGTATTGATGTTTGGTTATATATGATTGGCACCAAATCCTAAGGTTGCTTTAATAGTTGTAACTGCCATATCTTAACTGGTTTTGTTGTTTTTTCAAATGTGTTGGTATGCATGTTGATGTTATATTTCTATATTGTCTTAAAACAATTTCCTGTATTTTAAGATCTATATCCAACTGAAGAGGACTAAGTAAGATAGACAAAATGCATCTTGGGATATGTTAATAAAAATGATCTTAATAGCATAGTAGTCTCATGTATGATAAGCCTGTAAGTTTAAATACAATATAATAGTATAATATATATATTTAGGTAAGAAATGGTTTAATAATCATTGAAATACCTTTAAGCTCTGAGATTTTGGTTCAAAAATTAATCTTATTCCATCTTGGGAGAGGTTTATTACTAAATCCATCGATAAAGGATTCTGAAATTGTATTAAATTATTTTAAGAAAATATCTAATAATAAATTTTGAGTGTATTGCTAGCATAATTCACCTTTTCTCGACTTTCCATGTTATTAATGTACACTTACTTTCTTCTACTGGGTGATTAATGAAAAGTTAATTTGCAAATTGGGCTAGGAGTCAGTAAAATCATGGTGACATCACAATATAAACTTATACTTAAATATAGATTACAGTGTAAGTTCAAGTGTAAAATTAGTCTGACAATTCAGTGGCAGCAATGAAAAATCTTACAATGTTATTTATAATTTTAGTTGGTTTAATACTTATTGAACCTTTACAAAAAGATTTGAAAGTTGAGGAGCTGGGATTGCAAATTTAAAAACTGAGGTACAAGAGTCAGAATTGGCAGTTTACATACTAACTCCACAGTCTTGTTTAAGACTTAGACTCAGCACTAATGCTGTCAACAACCACAGTAACTGTATGCTGGCCATTTTGCTAGCATCCCACTATGCATTGTGAAAGCACATTTAAGTCTCAAATATATATTTACAACAGATTTGAGAGATAACTTTTGATACTCTAAATATATAAACTGGCAGTGCATGACAAGTCAATCAAGTCAATTGATCAACCACCAACCCAATAAACTTTTCATTTGATCAGTACAAAATTGCCATTATAAGAATCACCAGTAAAGATTGTAAATCATTTTCTGAAACTTGTGATTTTTCCAAAGAAAATAACTTTCTTCTGTAAATTTCATATTTCTAAGATAAGAAATTCTCTCATTTGCCAAGAAAATAACAAATTAACCTACTTTATAAAAAAAATTAATAAAATATTAAAACAGAAAGCAGTAATTAATAAATTGAAAACTAATATAGATCTAAAGTACATATCAATATTAATTTACTTAAAAAAATAAATGTAATTTAAGTTTAAAATATCATAATTCAACTTTAAATCTTAAAAACTTATTAATAAACAAGAATGAGACAGATTTTTCTCTGCATAGCTGACATAGGGGTTATCTGTTTAAATTCTAAGCAGACACTTAATGAGCTACTTAATATTAAATCTTATCAAATATGTCGTTTCCTACACAAACGATTAAATCCTAATTATAAATAAACAAACTACATGAAAAAATTCATTTATGGAATTTAATCAACTTTAAAACTAAAATGAAGATAGTGGAATAAAAATTAAGTTTAATAAATCAGATTCTTTCATTATATTAAAGAAAACAGACTTAAAAATTATTATTCATAGTTCAACTGAGATTTCTCTATCAAAGAACTTTAATACTAAAACCAAAGTTTTAATTGCAAATAAAAAATTGTTCATTCATTTCCTAATGAAAATACTTAAAATTTTTAATTTTCTTTTTATCATATTTAAATAGGCTTAATAATAATAATTATGAACATTTGAATGTACCACAGAAATTATAACAAGCATGTATTGCAGTTAGTAAGCAAAACGCAAAGAAAACGTGACCCACAACACTGGCTAGATGCCAATGACTACTTTAAAATAGGTCATTCTATAATATACTATCAATAATTTAAAAAAGATTAAAAGTTCAAAATATACATTTTTATTAATACATTAAAATTCATAACCTTTACTTTAAATTTTAATTTTATAGACATAATTTAGTAACATTCTTACAATTTAAACATTGGCAATTTTTTCTAAAATTAATTTTCTAGTAACACAATTCAGACATTTACAATAAACTCAATTAACAAACAATATAAACTAAGAATTAAACTTTGAATAAATTACTTAATAATCCAAAGAAAAGGAAATGAGTCAGACAAAAAATATTTTTGGCCCAATATTATATCTAAATTGTATTTCACCCATTTCATTTTTCAGTCTGTACCCATTGTACATTAAGTTGAATCCACAACAAAAGATGGCCAGTCAGTGATGGGTGGGGTCCAACATGTCAGGGACGACTGCCACTAAAAGTTTCTGGAGTTCCCTTAAATTTAAATTTCCAAGGCATTTAAATCTGTCCCTAGTCCAAAATGGACTAGGGACAGATTTAAATGCCTTGGCCATCAATACAATATCTAAATTGAACTTCTATGTCAGCAATATTATTAATCTAATTCACAAAGATTCATAAAATCCATAATGTAATGTACATCACAGAAACTATAACCATAACCAAATGCCCACTTAAAGCTGATGGGATATATTCTTCTAACAGTTAGAGAATTCATTGCATTATTTAATAATATGCATCTGAAATCCATCCAAACTCATTTCTTTTGAGGAAATTACAGAATTAAACACATTTTAAATATGCAATCCTTTTTTTGAAGTGGATATGCAATATGCAAGGATTTTTGATACATACACTATCTTTAAATATACCACACTAACCTTATAATGCTTTGAAGTTATTTTTAGAACATAACACATTTTTAGAACAAATTTTTAGAACATAACACATTTTTAGAACACATTTTTAGAACAAATTTTTAGAACATAACACATTTTTAGAACAAATTTTAGAACAAATTTTTAGAACAAATGTTTTCGATCCACCCTAGGACAAAATAACAGCAAAGCATTATAATGTTAGTGCAGTATATTTATATTAATGCTTTGTTTATAGAATAGATTTTACACTATCTTTTACTTACATCAACCTTCTGTTCACTTATCCTACAAATTTATAGTAAATGTTTTAGCTAATGATTGAATACAAATTGACTGTACAGATTTGAATATATATAAAATATTAAATTTTTTAGATAATTGAGATGCAAGAGGCATCACAGTTTTAGTTAGTAAAAACATCACATTTCAGTGTTACCACAATTTAAATATATCAAGGTTTGTTGATAATTTTTTAAGTGAATGGACTGAATTTCTAATCTCAGACTGGTAATTCGACAATCAATAATTCAAATCACTCAGTAATTATCATTTTATATAACTTTGGGCAGTCTGCAAATGTTGTTTATAATTATTTTGTACTAGACAGCGAAAAGCTGTATTTGTTATAACCTTTTCGATATGTAGTTTAAGTTAATTTATTGTAATACTTTACTTTCAGTGATAACTGTAAGATTCAGATTTCATCAATGTATAATTTATGTATTTTGATGGAAAGGAGCAATATTTGATTAATACATTAATTAATGTTGTCTAATTACTATTGTATTTTTGATTAGTAAATTTGATCATTCTATGTGTAATCATTTTCCTTAAAATATTTTGTTAAAAGTTTATTTATTGTCTGTATTCTGACAGGCAAGAACTGTCTTTGTTTAAAATATTGATTTGATTTATGTTCTTCTGTATTTTCAGTTAAAATTGTTTTCAAACTACGTGTAATCAAACTGTCTTCAATTGTACAGACTGTAAATACTGCAATTATTGTCTGTATTTGATGGCCAGGAGCTGTATCTGTATGTTTCATTTGATTCTTAATAAAACAGGCTGGGCACCCGTGAAACTTTCCCTTTTCATCCCGTTTCCTATCTTACTTTACTTTTTCCCCCTTTGCCTCTTCCCTTAATCACCTTTCCTCTATTCTTCTTCACACTCAGGCACTACCAATGAGTAGTCCCAAGTCTTCATTCCCTTTATGAAATAAAAGAAATAAAAGTCTGCAAATGTTTCTGTATATTTATCAATAGACATTCTCATATACACAATAAGGTTTCGTTTAGAATCTGATCATAGGTAGGATTAAATATTAATATTAAGCTAATCAAATAATAGTATTTAAAAAGGAGCACATAATTAACATTAGAAGCAAACCAAAACATGCTTCATTACTTGGAAGAAATAATTAAAAGATTTGTATTATGCAAAATCAGAACATTCCACTAAATTATTATTATTATGATAAATATAAATTCAGTAATATAATGCAAATTATTCACTTGACTATTTTTAAAATTATAACAAGCATGTATTGCAGTTAGTAAGCAAAACGCAAAGAAAACGTGACCCACAACACTGGCTAGATGCCAATGACTACTTTAAAATAGGTCATTCTATAATATACTATCAATAATTTAAAAAAGATTAAAAGTTCAAAATATACATTTTTATTAATACATTAAAATTCATAACCTTTACTTTAAATTTTAATTTTATAGACATAATTTAGTAACATTCTTACAATTTAAACATTGGCAATTTTTTCTAAAATTAATTTTCTAGTAACACAATTCAGACATTTACAATAAACTCAATTAACAAACAATATAAACTAAGAATTAAACTTTGAATAAATTACTTAATAATCCAAAGAAAAGGAAATGAGTCAGACAAAAAATATTTTTGGCCCAATATTATATCTAAATTGTATTTCACCCATTTCATTTTTCAGTCTGTACCCATTGTACATTAAGTTGAATCCACAACAAAAGATGGCCAGTCAGTGATGGGTGGGGTCCAACATGTCAGGGACGACTGCCACTAAAAGTTTCTGGAGTTCCCTTAAATTTAAATTTCCAAGGCATTTAAATCTGTCCCTAGTCCAAAATGGACTAGGGACAGATTTAAATGCCTTGGCCATCAATACAATATCTAAATTGAACTTCTATGTCAGCAATATTATTAATCTAATTCACAAAGATTCATAAAATCCATAATGTAATGTACATCACAGAAACTATAACCATAACCAAATGCCCACTTAAAGCTGATGGGATATATTCTTCTAACAGTTAGAGAATTCATTGCATTATTTAATAATATGCATCTGAAATCCATCCAAACTCATTTCTTTTGAGGAAATTACAGAATTAAACACATTTTAAATATGCAATCCTTTTTTTGAAGTGGATATGCAATATGCAAGGATTTTTGATACATACACTATCTTTAAATATACCACACTAACCTTATAATGCTTTGAAGTTATTTTTAGAACATAACACATTTTTAGAACAAATTTTTAGAACATAACACATTTTTAGAACACATTTTTAGAACAAATTTTTAGAACATAACACATTTTTAGAACAAATTTTAGAACAAATTTTTAGAACAAATGTTTTCGATCCACCCTAGGACAAAATAACAGCAAAGCATTATAATGTTAGTGCAGTATATTTATATTAATGCTTTGTTTATAGAANTCCCTTTATAAAATAAAAGAAATAAAAGTCTGCAAATGTTTCTGTATATTTATCAATAGACATTCTCATATACACAATAAGGTTTCGTTTAGAATCTGATCATAGGTAGGATTAAATATTAATATTAAGCTAATCAAATAATAGTATTTAAAAAGGAGCACATAATTAACATTAGAAGCAAACCAAAACATGCTTCATTACTTGGAAGAAATAATTAAAAGATTTGTATTATGCAAAATCAGAACATTCCACTAAATTATTATTATTATGATAAATATAAATTCAGTAATATAATGCAAATTATTCACTTGACTATTTTTAAAGCATTATATGTGAAATAACATAATAATATAGTTAAAATAAAATAAACATACTTTATAAGAGTAACAGATTATTTGAGAAATCTAGTAAAGAAAATTCTAGAACAAATTTAATTATTATTATTATTTCTAAATTATATGCAAAAAGATTCATATGAACAAATGAGAAATATTATGGCTGGCTCAAATAATGAGACGTCAGACAACTGTGTAGCCAGCTTACCTTGGCAAATACTAGAATTGTCTTTACATCTGTTTCTGCCTAATGCAAGGACCAATTTGGTTTTCCTTCTCAATAAATACCAAAAATAATCCTACAGGTAAAAGCAACAGAGATGTGGGTTAGTTATAACAACTCCTACTGTAATGGCAATAGCTAGAATTGACTATGTCCAATGCCTTAAAGACATATCCAATATGAAAATTGGATCTGGTACAGAAATTATAGTCTTATCCAGTATGGAAAATATTTTATTTTTACCAAATAATATATGGTAAAAATTATCCCCAATACAATTTTTAATACAGTTTATACTTACTGAATTTATGTTATGTTTAAATATTTAAAAGTACATACTGCAATAAATTTAAAAATTGAATTATTTTGTCAATTTATCATAACTTTTAAAAGAAAAATTATTGTAGATATCATGTGTATTGATTGTAAATTATATAGTAAGATTGATTATTTATGCATACTAGAATATTCTCAAAAAATACATATTCATAACCAGTATATAATAAAAATTAAAACTGCAAATTTATGAAAAATTAATTTGAATTTTAATATTTTACATTCTGTATTTTATTCATTCATTATTTAAGATCTGAATCATTTTATACAAGAGAAACTTAGACTAACTTTCAGCTTAAAAGAAGTAAATGTGATGCATTTGTTTTCCTGTCAAAACTGTTTATTTACTGTATTAATTTAAAATAGTTTAATTATAACAGTCAGTGATGATTATAAACCAGTTTAAGGGTGGAGCTAACCTAGACAATCGAAAACGTAAGCATTATCAATAATCAAGGCCAGACTTTTATGGAATTAAAATGCTATAGACACTGGTTTTAGGTTCTAATAAATAATAAAAGTTAAATTGATAAAGTCACAAGAAAATGTCAACAGTATGACAATTTATTAATGCTTATACCTGAATTTTACTAATCATTAAACTGCAAAAATGTAACCATTGTGTACTTTATTATACAGTATTTTCAAAGCTTCCATACAACTGTTTAGTGAAACAGCTGTTTTTGTTTTGGTCATAAATATGTAAGTTCTGTTTATTTTTCTGTTAATTTCAAATGGTTAGCAATGTAAAATTCCTATTCAATTAATTCATATTAAATTCTCAATCACTACTATCAGAAAAAAATTATTACAGTTATGTAAATAATCAAGCCTTATAATTTTTGTCAAAATACATGATTTATACAGAAGGAAAATTCTGAAATCAACTAAGTATTGATATTAATATAACTGCTACAACATACAACTATGTAATTCATAATTTAAAATCATTTTAAAGATTAGAATCTTCCATTTCAAATGGTTTATAATAGCTACATTAAACATAAAATTTATGACTTTAAAATGAAAATTAAAAATTTTTTAACATTATGTACATTTAGATTTAAATTATCATGAATTATATGACTACATTTAAGTATTCATATTAAAATACATGGCTTTCCTCAAATTTGAAATAAAGCACATTTAATTTTTTTCAATTCCTTGTTAATTAAGTTTTAATTAAATATTAATATAATGATAATTAGAAAACATTAATTCTGATTACAAAATTTCAAATAATTTTATTAAAAACTTATAATGAAAATTAATACAACTAGAAATTTTAAAGTTATTTATCCTTATTGAAAGTTCCTTAAAGAAGACTTTAAAAACTCTTTGTACAATTCTTCAAAGAAAACATTAATTAGAAAAAAATATGTCAAGTATTCTTATTTATACAAAAGCTATTAAAAAAGTATATTTTATCATAAAATATATTTCTAGTTAAAGAAAATCATGCTGATGTAGTGAAACTACAAAAACCAAGCAATGAAAATACATTATTATAGAATAAGCAATTACTTATTGTGATATTGTCACAATACCAGGCTGCAATTTTTAATCAATCAAACTTTAATTTAAAAATAAGCTCTTTATACCTGGTCTCGATTTTTATCTATCTAATTCCATTTCAAGATTAACAACGGGAGGATGGCTACAGTGAGAATGCACAGACCTGCAATTTGAAAATTGCAGACCAATAATGTTGTATCATGAGTTGAATCTATGGTATAGACAAATCTCAAGAATTCTATCACATATGCTATATTTTGTTATATAACTGATTAATAATTTTGCAGCAAAGAAATGTAACACTTCTTTGACAAAGAAGTCAATGAATTCATTAATTAATAGGTCTAACTATTATCTTTTAGAAAATAATATGCAGGTTATTTTACCAAAGACAGCATAAAAAAGAAATGATGCTAACTAACTCAATTGACAGCACTGAAATTATCAACCAAAATTATAAAAGTGTAAAAAGAGTTTCATTAAAATATAAAAACAAAGTCTATTCAAAAGGCTATACAGCCTGTTATTGTGTAATAAATTGTTTTTATATAATTAAATTTGTTTTATGGCAAAAGATTATCAGCCATTGTTATATTTATTAATTACCCAACTTGTTTGTTAATGCAGAGATAATCCACACTGTTATTGATCTGAATGACGATAAATGTTTTGTAATAAAGGAATCAGAAACTGCATGTAATTAATTAAAAACAAAATGACAACTATCATAAAAACTTTGATATAAAATATTGAATAATATGGATTTAAATGTTACATCACAAAATAAACAAAACACAAAATGTTTTTATAAACATTTTCAAATAATATGCAATTTAAACAAGTCTTTTCAGTAAGTCCTATCATGCCACAAAAACAGAGTAAAGGTCTTCCAAAATAAATGATGATATTTTACATTACTATAAATATGTTAATTATAATACAAATAGTACGGGACAAACACCAATTGATAGAGTAATAATCCAAATTCAGTCTACCATCTGCATTCAAACGTCTTGTTGTCTACTTCCTCTAGGAAGTGCTGTAAACAAAAAATGGCAATCCCACAATAAAGCAGTATTTTGTGTGTCTGCAGTTTGCAAAGTTGGAATCAGTCATCATTGTACAAAGTGAGTAATCTGCACTGCAGAAGCTGTAGAATTGTGGCTGTCATGGGAGGTGTGATGTAGGATATGCCATAGCGAGCACAGGAAAAATATGAATATTGGTTGGATGTGTGCCATGTGGTGCACAGATCGAGAATTGAAATGGTCAAACATAAAACTTAGACAGTTTTCCAATGTTTTAATGTATATTATGACATTCTCAGATAATAATTAACATAGTTACACTAATTTAAAATAATAGCATTCTTTTTGGAAGACCTGTATTTTCTTAGCCTCTTCCAATTTGAAAATATGTAAATTGCTCAAAAATATGCATAATTTATTTAAACTGTCATCTTGATTTTTATTGTTATACAATTTATACAAACTTTTATTATAGTCCAATATAGTCACAAATTTTATATATTTTTAAATAAGGAAGCACTTATAAAAAGAAATCAACTTTGTGTTCTTATAGTATTAAAAATATATTCAGACAACTTTTGTGTTTGTCTTTTAATATTGTATATTTTTATTTAAATTGCTATTTTTGGTTTTATAAATACTTATGAAATTAATTCAAAAAGCATATTTATTCTTAAATATTAAATGCTTGTAAATATAAGTATTTTTAAAAATATAAATCTACATCTTAATAAAAAACCAATTACTTACTGGCTCACTGTAAAGTACTTGTACATTTTTAATTACTTCACACTGTTTCTGTATCATCTGTACAGCTTGATTAAATATCATGCCTAAAATAAAAACACATTTCTTGTAAATAAATTGTTAGAATTGACCAATACAAAGTATTCTATAATAATTTAAGAAGAAATAATGCTCAAATTTGAATTAAAAGAGAGCATAAAATAGTATTTGTAGGCATTCTGAATGATATTTCTGCATGAAAAACTTTACTATTTCTGGCAGACTTGTGAAAAAATATGTCACAAGCATCATATTACATGCTAACTGAATGTAACAATGACTATATAAACTAATAAACACTGTTAAAATTCATCATCTACCTTTCAAAATTTATATTGGAAAATCTTTTTACAGCAAAGAAAGATAAATATGTGTTTAAAACTTCAGAAATTCCAGAAGTCATCCAAAACCAAATGATATTTTTTTAATCACTTAAACAAACAAAATGACTACATAAAAATGATAATCCCAACTCAGTTTAAATCTTAAATATGATGTCACAAATTTGGCAATACTATGCATCAATATAGGTTACTCTATTAACATTTTAAAATTCAAAGGATATGAACTGAAATCCAAAAAATCTGTCTTCATTCTTCCTTTTGTAAAGTATATTTTGTTGCAAGATATACTTTACAAAACCAGCCCGTATTCAGGTGTTAGACATACAAATAAAACCTAGCAAACTTCTTTTAACTGGACCACTTATGAGGCCCGAACCCACAATCAACTACGGATGTTTGGCGGTTTTATCCACTCAGCTACCAGTCACCAACAGATGGGAAAACTCTGAAAGTGTGTGTAAGCAAGCTTTATATTGCTCTCTTCCGTATCTTCCTCCTAGAACCAAACTTTTGGTATGTAATCTATAGTATTAAATAAATAATATCTACTAATTCCAAATAATAATGCACTAAAAAACAACAATTTATCCATAAATGCCTAACTTTGCATACCTAAATATGCATGTATCATTGTATACAATGGCAACTATTTTATAATTTTAAGAATAATAATATTGAATTTTATTAAAATATAAATTTTATTCATTAGCAACAGAAATCACTTTTTATTTTATCAAAATCTAATTATAAGCCTATTAGAAATCACTGAAAATTTTCAATTGTTTTATATGAAAAGATGGTAAATTTTTGTTACATAATGTAAATTTTACCTCTACTTCATTTGGCAATGCTTTTTCTTTGTGTCGTATAATTAGAAAATAAGATTTAAACTTTTCATTTGAGTAAGTTAATGACGCATTTGGATTTTAAATATCATAAAATAAAACTAAAATTGATAACATTAATTTGCATATCATTAACAGAATTTTAATGAACAGTTAATTAAAAATATTTTTCTTTTATAAAAACAGTAATATTTCATTTCATAATTTTTAATTAATTAATTTATGAACTTATTACAGTTAAAACCAGAAATGCTTTACTTGTTATGTGTAGCAGTCTATTTTTTTTCTTTTTGTTCAGAGAATTAAGACAAGAAACCTTTTTGAGACATCATTTGAAATCTAAATCTTTCCCTTACAAACACAAACAACATTTAAAACTAAATTTTTAACTTTGGTTGGTTCAAAACAAAGATTTGAAGAGATTTCCGATGACAGAATTTAATTCCAAAAAGTAGAAATTTATATTTCAAGGATAAATTTTATTTAAAAAAAACACAAAAAACAATGTAACCTTAGACTTACTGATGGTTATTTATCACTTAAAATATGATAGTTGTATTTTTCTTTTCTGGACTCCTTAATTAAATTTAAAAAAAAAAAAAACCACATATTTTCCTGAAGTCTAGAATCATTATTTAAATATCCTAAAAAATAATGAACTAAACACTTAACCATTGAAGCAAGTCACTGCTGATGGCTACATGAAAAATTGATTTTATATGTAAGATATTAAAGTACGTTTATCCTATTAATCCCAAAATGTCAATTAATCTCCAACCATTAGATGATGATATTTTTTCTAAAAATGAACTGTCTTCTAACAATTACAGATTAATTGATATTTTGGAATTTTGAAGACAAGATCTTTCATAAATAGCTAATGAATTGGAGATTCTTGATTATGATAAAGTGGCATTACTTTTTAAAAGAAAATTATTTCAGAAACTTGAATTTTAAATATATTTTTACAAAATTATTATTTAAATTCATTGATTTTACAAGATATCTAACTCTATGAACAGAAGATTTTAAAAGATCACTGAAGAAAGTATACTTTTAAATAGCATAGCAAAAAAAAATTAGAGTTGCAATTCATTTTTCACATTCATAATCGTCGAGGTAAGTTTTAAATCAAATTCTTCAAAATGTCCAAAGCTCAGCACCATTACATAAAAATGCAGGCAGAACAACAATTAAGACAACAGAGGAAAAGTTTGTAGACAAAGAAATGTTTCCGGTTTCCATTCGATTTTCTTCAGTTTTGATCTGAATAAATATCAATTAAGTAAATTGATATAAAGCAATTTGTACTAAAAGTAGGCAGTCAAGTTGCTCTCGAGATAGCAACTTAATATTAATAGCCTACTTTTAGTCCAATTACCTTATATCTTAAGAAGTCCACCAATAATCTGGCAACAAGGACAACATAGCCATAATTTTCCATCCAATCAAGTAAAGATGATCATAAAATTTAAAAATCTTTCATTTCATAAATGTTCCATTTTCAAACATAACCAACAATGGTAATATAAGATTAATGAGGCAAACATTTTCGGTAATCTTAAATTTTATTTCATATTTGCTGGAGTTTGATTTTTTTGATATATTATTACCCTATATCTATACATTAAATTGTTCTATCTTCAGATCAAAACTGAAAAACATTTTTCAATAAAATTTTACATGAGGTTACCTAAATTAGCCTGAAAAGCAGCCTTCTTGCATTTCTAAATCAAATTAACTATTTCAAGAAGATACATGGTTTTTTTTTTATGTTATTATGCCATTATTTTTCTTTGTGTTTGAAAAGTATTTTAAACCAAATAAATGCAGTAAATTAGGAAAAACAAAATACTGCAGAACTCATCTTTTGTTTTGAACAAAAGAATAAAATAAACTAGATAAATACTACCAAATAATCCACTGAATTATTTACTGAGCTATGTGAAAGATAATTTAATAATTAGAGAAAGCAATTTGACTAGAGATGCACAGATACTAGATGAATAACAGTTTGGATAATTCATAGCAAAACACTTGTAATTTAGTAATAATTTTTTATTATAAATGAATATTTTAGTTATCTTTAGATTCTAGAACAAATTATTTTACAAAAGCTATATTTTTAACAAGGTCCATTTGTGAATAAGAGTGAGAATGATGTGCAATTGCAGCAGTGTGCATGAGAATCTCCTTTCAGCTTGCTTTGCGCATGTTTAGACACCATTTGCAGCCGTATTGTCTGTCTGTGTGCTGAGCTGTAGAAGTTTATAATGTTTAAGAAAATTGAGTCGCCCACTGACTGTAAGATAAAATCTATTATTCAATTTCAGCACGAAAGATCATGGTAATGGTCTTTTCGGACAGGAAAGGGACTTTGTTAGTGGATTTTATGCCAAGAGGCACAACAATCAATTCTGATGCTTATTGTGACCTTGAGAAAACTCTGCCATGCCATACAAGACAAGCGGTATGACCTAATATCTTCCAACAGCAGGTGGCAGATTTCTTTGAAGTTGGAATTTAAAAAACTTTTGAGTGGTATGACAAATGTTGAACAAAAATGAAAATTATGTAGAAAAGTAAATAAATGTATGTAGAATATGGGAAAAAATATATTTTAACGATATTTACAGTATTTTTTTCTTATCAAAAAACAGACCTTATATCTTTCATAAATATAAAAGCCACAGAACATAGATGTGCAATAAAGCAAAGATTAAAAGACAAAATATATCAGTAAAGACAAACATATCAGTAAAGTATATTTTTTTGAGTGCAAAACTACTGAATAAAAAAAATTATTTGGTAAATTTTGGACATTATAAAATTTCTTCTTCAGGACAACCAGCTTTATAAAAATAAAATGAAAAGCACACACAGGAAAAATTTAAATGTACATTTACATTTTTTTTTTTAATGTTTGAAAATGAAACATACATAATAAATATGAAAATGCAAATTTTATAATTTGTATTTAATTGTAATAAATTTATAAAATTAATTATGCATTTATTCAATAATTGCACATATATGTCCTATGATAGCATTTTAACTTTATATTCTGGCAAAGAGAAAATTATTTGAATATTAGAAAATTAATAAATCTATACACAAAATAGTCATCAGCATGATGTTAATGTAATTAAGGATTAAATCAAAATTTTTTTCAATAAACAAACAAATTTGTTAGAAATGTAAACCTAGCATCCAACAATTAGAAATCTNCATTTTGTACAAGCAGAAGCATAATGGCATTTCAACAGAACATTTGTTTGCCCAAATTTTCTTTTCATGTCAATTTGAGCTTTTACCAGCAAGTATAAAAGTATAGCTGTTAGTGGTCTCAAAAAGTATGATAAAGGTGCACCTTATAATCGAGAATATACGGTAGTAGCCAATCAAAAACTTCCAAAAATTTAGTAGCCCTCTAGCAGGAAAAAAACACACACACACACAAAATATCAATAAAAAGGCAATACGTATAAAAATAGTGATTGCGAATTGGTTTTTATCAATACGATGTTAATGTAATTAAGGATTAAATCAAAATTTTTTTCAATAAACAAACAAATTTGTTAGAAATGTAAACCTAGCATCCAACAATTAGAAATCTGTATTATAAATAAAAATATAATTTAAATTGCCTAACAGTAAAGAATAACTATACAAAAACATTAAAATTTTACATTGTCTTTCTTACATGACAAATACTAGTAGTCAAAATGTTACAAATGTAATAAATCATTCTGTACTTTAATTTTTTTCATTTAAAGTAATAAATGATTCATAAAATATTGACTCTGAGAATCTGTTTCATTTCCAAAATGGCATCAAGTGTGCTTTGTCTAGCTATTT